GTTTGGGCTTTGTAGCATCCTGCTTACAAAAACAGAAAGAAGGGGTGAAATGCAGATGTGTGTGGAGTGAACCTGCAGCCCTCCAAAGGAGTAAACTGAGCCACAGGTCTTGTGCTGGCCCTACAGTGCAGGAAAGGATTTCGCTGACAGTGTGTGCTGAGATCAAATTTTGGACACCTTGAGAGGAAAATGTTGCAAAATAATACAGACTGTCAGCCAACAGCCATTCATTTTGTAGTGAGAAGTATTCCCTGACAAACCTTGCAATGTCAGAGCAGAATTGGCCCGGCTGCTCCTTGTAGTCATCAGCCCTTAAGTGATGGTCAGTGTCAGGCTGGACTGAAATCCTGGTCCTCATTACTCCATCCCCACGGATGCTTTTCAGTTGCCAGTAGGACATACCGAACCAGCAGCGAAACAAAAGAACAAAGTCTGCTGCAACAATGTTTGGATGTAATTTCAAAAAAGTGGCCCATGGATTTAAAATCTGCCTGGAAAAAAAAAAAAAAAAAAAAAAAGCTGTTTATTCTGTCATTGCCAGAACATTGATATAGTCAGAAACATTATTTTAGTGAAGTTTTTACATGCCATTGAACATTTTCTCTGTGTTCACGGGTTGTCAGTCTTATGTGCAGATTAAACTAAGTTCTCACAGAGGAAATGCACGCAGCGTGAATTCCGTTAGCTTTGCTGATCCCATTATGCGCCATAATGTGAGAGTGAAGATTGCTCTGCATAAATATTCATCTAGCATCTTTCAAGTTTTCACTTTTCATTCTGCTGCTGCCTGACCCTGTCTGCCACTTTTCTCTGAATAATTGTTACTGCTGAGCAATCCATTTGGAGAAAAAGGCATTTGCAAGACTATAATATCAGAACTGGACTCATGTGGATTGTCACTAGGACAAGATGCAGACTGGTGCAGTGTACAGCTGTGGACATTAAAATGATCTACTGTACTATTTGGAATTGCTCTGCATGTTTCTTTGGAAATGCCATTGCTTCAGGCTCAGAGGCCAGACCAAACACATAGGTGGCAGCACCCCAATTTCCTTTCTGATCACTCAGAATCAAGATTATGTTTTTTTTTCTCTTTTAATTCCAATATGTTTTGAGTTATAAACTGTTTCAGTGCAGTTTCTAATACTCTACACCCCAAAGGCTCTGCTTGTGCATTGAGGCAGACTGGAAGTGGTGAAAATAGCAGAAAACATCTGATGTGTTTTTGTGGAAGCAAGGAGTGAGACTTGAGGGCTCCTTTGATACCAAGGGGGGAGTATGAGGAGCCACTTCATGGGCTGTGCTGCAGACCTTGCCCAGGCTTTCCTTGGGCAGAGCATCAGAGTGCAGCCTGTTCTCCCATGCAGAGCTGAGACAAGCTTGCAAAGGGAATGCGCTTTTCTTCTTAAAAGGTGCTTACTTCTGCCAGGTATTGTCATAACACGTTTTTCTTTCTTTTTTTTTTTTCATCCAGTTAGAGTTCTCCTAGACACCATTTACATAATTTTCCCTGCTTATCAGCTTGACATCTTAATTGCAGAAACTGCACCAACAGGTGGAAGCTGTTAAATAGCAGGCATCAACACCACAACAGGTAAAAAACAATAATCATATTACTCAAAGAAGACCAAAGTGGTGAATATATGCTCTCAAAATCAAGTTTAAACCAGACATATTCCAATGATGACTGAAGTGAATTAAATTTCTTTCCAGTTAGACAGCTTTGATCCAATTGTCCAGAAAACCAAACCAAACCAAACAACAAAGCAGGGTGGATAAACACTCATGGGCGTGATGGTGGCTGTGTGATTCAGAACGGTCTGTTACAGCCTGACTTGGGGCCAGCTGCTTGGCCATAGTCCCGTACCGCCGTATTTGCCTATGGGCTCAGATGGATACTTGGAAGCCTGGATGGACGTCAAAGGAATGGGGCAGGCATTTTCCAACAGAAGCTTGGGCTGTTATTCTCACTGTCAATAGTTAAATTCATAATGATGCCTTAGTCTGGTTTAGGGGGAAGTTAGAACAGCAATCATGTTCCCATTAGCAGTAGTGTAATCCCATTTCTAACGTGAACTTCATATCCACTAGCCTTAAAGTAGATCTTGCCTCTGTGTTTTATGATGACTGATGGTAACATTAATGTCTCTCCAAGCCCTATGCCTTTTTCTAAAAGAAAATTGCCATGTGAAAGAACCTCATTCTTCTAATTAAGATCAACTCATACATAGAGTGCAGTATATTTTGCTGTCACATCAGAGTGTGTACATCATGTTGACTTACGCGTGGTGTGGTCGATCGGCCATGTGAGTGAGGGATTATGCACAGGCTTTCTGGATACTTTGGGGCTTGAACCCTCTGAGCAGTAGATCACAGATGCTTTCTGTTGCATATTAATAGCTAGCTCAGTATGAGGACTGGAACCCCAGAACTGCCATAAATGCTAAAAACATTTAAGCTCCAAGACTTAGAATACATAACTTAATGTGCTACTGAATGTTCTAGAAGCTGTTTTTCTTCTATTTTTTTTTTTCCAAGCCATTTTTAAAAGGAATTCAAGTTCACATAAACATTAATGTGTCATAAAATTTTTAAACTGATTTTTGAACTGATGTGACACTCTGTACTTGTTTTATTTTTGCCATGGAAGTATAGCAACTGGTTGCACCGGCAAAAATGCATTTTCAGTCATCTAAGGACAAACCCACCTAATTGGTGTTCCTGGTTGAGCAATAAGAGATGAGTAAGCCCGACTTACCTTTGTGGGTGTATATATATATATATATATATATATATATATTGATGCAAGCCCACAATGGTTTGTCTTTAAAATATCAGTAGAGTGAAAGTGATTTCTCTAATGGAGTTCCTGGTAAGATGGAGTTTCAAAGCAGTTATTCAATGGCTCTTTCCTCGTCCATAGAGACCTTGTTAGTAGCCACAGCCTAGGCCTTGGAAGATAGATAACATGTTTTTGTTTTTTTTTTTTTTTTTTAGTGCATATTCAGCAGGGAATTGATATTTGGGCTTTTTTCTCACCAAATTGGGTTCATTTTAATTGTCTTGCCAGGTTGTCCCTGCCTATGAACAGCCCCAAATGGTAGAAGCATTACTGATAAGCATCTAACAAAAGAAAAGATGGATGCTTGGGATCATTGAGGCCTTTTTTTTTTAGCAGAAACAGAGCAATAGTAACAGTGCAGCTATTTTCCTCTATTCTGTGCCACATTTGAACCTGAAAAAAAAAAAAAAAGGTTATTTGGAGGGCAAGGGGAAGAGGGCCAGGGAGAGCATTTGAGGAAATCTAAAGATACATGTTCGATCCTCATCTCTGATACACAGCCCACAGATTCGAACACAGCAGCCAATCTGGTCAGCATCTAACTCTTCCTGTTTTAGAGTATGTAATAATGTGTTCTACCTTAAGGACTGGGAATGAAATTTGGGTATGTTCTTGTTTACAGCAACTTCGGATAACTTTTTTCCATTACAGAGGATACCTACAGGTGTATCTGCTGCATATCCCCTCTGTTCTCCTTCTCTTAGGGCATGCAGAAGTGGATTCTGCTTTGGAAAGCCAATCTTACCTCTCTTTATTTCAACTAGAGAATAACTAACCTGCTTTGCATCTATTCCCTGCTTCCTCAATGCTTTCATGCATCCTTTTATGAAAGGAAGAGGAGGGTGATCAGATCCCTGGGTGTATGCTTCTTCCATTTGTGGATGACTTTAGACAGAAGCAGGGCACACAACCTGATGTGGGTTGTGAGGTATCATGCTGTACCATATGGAAGAAGCAGCTGTAACATCTGAGCTGGAGCGCAAATCCATCCCATATTGCCATCGGTGCTGTGGGTCTGGCAAGCTTCTGTCCTCCCCCCTGCCCCTGAAACATCAGCTTTTAGCCACTGCCAGGGGCACTGGCATTGGACTAGTTTGTTGTTCTTGCTGTCGTTCCAGGTCAATAGATCCCATGTTCTTCCAGCACTCTGAAAAAATAAATGCTCTCCCAGAGTTTTAGTCATCTCTTTGTTATTCTTTCGAGATTACCATCATCAAGGGAACGAATGTTAGAACTGTTCAAATTGACATAGTTTTTTTTTTTTTTTTTTTCCTAAACTACTAATTTTCAAAGCTTGCTTTAGTTTTTGCTCTCGCTCAAGATAGGATTATACATTACATATTCTGTGGCAACTAATTAGTTCAGACCATGCTGTGTTGCTTTGTAGGTGTTTAGCCAAAAATTGAAACAGTAATTATGTAAATGCAGTCTTCTTTCTGTGACTTTTAGTAATGTTTTGCTGTGAAATGAGTGTTGTTTCTGGGAAGGAAGCAACCTATTTAAAGAATAATTATTACGCTAAGCAAAAGAGAAATGTAATTGCAAAAAATGTCCAAAAAGTCAGGTATATTCTGGCCATGACTGGCATGTGAAACTGTTTGCAAAACCCCACTTAATGAGTCAAAAATCAATAAGTGGACCAGTTTCTCCAAGAGAAGACATAGTTAAATTCTCCCCAAACATTCATCTCTGAATCGAGGTGACTTTTCATGGTAGAAACTTGATGGTAAAACTTCTTATCATCCTCCCTCAATATATCTACTTATGTCTTGCCTTACTTTTGAATTTAAGACCTGGAAAAGATTGTCTTTGTGCCTTCTGGCTAGAACGGTCCCCTTCCTGGTAGGAGTTTCAGAAAATTTCACAGTGTCCCTAATTTATTGTAGCCATGTAAGGCGTATAGCCAGAGAAGCTGTGGATGCCCCATCCCTGGAGGTGCTCAAGGCCAGGCTGGATGGGGCTTTGGGCAGCCTGGGCTGGTGGGAGGTGACCCTGCCTATGGCAGGGGTTGGAACCAGGTGATCGATCCTTGGAGTCCCTTCCAACCCAAACCATTCTATGATACCCAAAGGCATTACCAGAGCATGTGCTAAAAAAAAGAAAGCAATCAAATGAACACCACAACTCCCACCCCAGGAAATATGACTTTGAGGTGTAAAAAGATTTACAGTCCATTTATTTGTAAAAACAAATACACTGCTAAGACTGCTTTTAAGTCGCTAAAGCTTCCCTTACTATATTTATAATTTGGAAAATACTCCATGTTCCAAACTGACAGGATCTTTCATCCCATTCATAGTTTCCTATTCAAACTGTATGAGGGAGGAAAAACTCAGTATGTTGTTAAACAGCAGACAGAGTCAGAAATTCATGAAGTGAATGATCACCTTAAGCTGCTGCTTTGAAGTTTCACCACAGTTTTCCAGCTCATTTCCTACTGATGGAAAACTTGCCAAAAGTACTCCCAGCAGAGATAAAAATTATTTGGCCTGATGAAATCCACACACTTTGAGATTATCAGCAGATCAAAGACAAGAGTCAAGCTGTATGCCATAGACAATTTACATAGAATACATAGGCAATGATAATATACATACATGTATATATACATGAATCTCTAGCTAATTAATGCATTACTTACGTGGGTAGCTCTAAGCAGAATATGAAAAAGAGTTCCAGTGAAATCTATAATGTGAAAAAGCACATTTCACATGATTGCTTTAGACTTGATATATGTTGGGTTAACCCTACTGGATTTATTTTGTTGCTTTCAAAAGCTTTGTGAGTCTGAAGCTCATCTGTCAACTTTGTTGTTGTTACAGGATTGATAAAGTCAGAAGTGTCTCATGTTTTATTTTGCTACACAAGAGCATCTGGATGATTTCTCTCTCCTTGATCTACGGCTGTTTGGAAAGGGTACACAGAAACAACAACCAAAACTAAGTTTCTTATTAACATGAGTGTTTGAACTGATAACAGCTCCTGGAAGCTTATGCTTCATTAATTTCCTGTGGAGGGAGAATGTTGGTAGAAGTGAGCCTTTTGGTGCAGACGTGTTTGCATTCTGCTGTTCCTGCTGGAGCCAGTAGGTCTCTGGGGGAGCCCAGGGCTGGGGTGGTGGAGACCAGGGAGGAGGCAGCACAGGGTGCTCTTGGTCCCCATGTCTTAGCAGACCCCACATGACAAAGCAGGCACAAATAGCTGGCCTTGCTTCATCCTATAGGTCTGACTCAAAGTTGTACTTTAAATAATGTTAAGCAGTGAAACACTGAACACCACGTACCAGACAGAAACTTGTGAAGATAAGGACAAGATACCTGGGGAAGCTCCTCCTGCCACCCAGCAAGCTGCCCACTGCAGTGCAGTGCTCGACCTCTGCCAGGTGCAGCACTGTGCATACCTTGTGGAGGTGGAATTTGCAAAAGGCTGTTTGATGGAGCCAAACATCCCACCTGTGCATTGCAGTTCTGGGAAGGGCTTTAGCAGAGTGCGCTGTGGGGATCCAGATGTGCACCTGCTCTGCAAGAGAGAACATTTCACTTTACCACTGGATTTGCATGTCAGTGACTGAATCCATTTTCAATAAATTGGCAGAAAAAAAATCATGTAGTGAAACTGTCAAAGTTGCTACAAAATGTCATTGTCCTTGGTCAACCCAAGCATACAGCTTGCAGTCCAAATATCAGTGCCACAAAACCTCAGACCTGGCTGGGCGTTGAGAACACATGCAAGGAATTACAGATAGAACTGATTGAACATTTCAACAGAAACAAGAGGTAATCCCAGTCAAAGTGAAAATCTCAAGGCAGTGCAGTGTGAAGCCATTGCACATACTTCATTAATGGATCTGTAAAAACAAAAACACCAAGTTTTTGTTTGTTTGTTTGTTTTTTGTTTTCCTTTGTTTCCTTGTGTTCCTCTCTCTTCCCCCCCCCCCCCTTTCATTCTCCCTTCTCCCCCTCTCTTTCCTCTTCCCTATTTGGAAAGCATCAAGACTTCCTGCTCTGTATAGTTGGTCCTGAGTTTCTTCTCATTGCTCAATATTTGATTTTTTATTTTTGAATTTATTACATTTCTCTTTTTAGAGTAATGCTGTTTTGTCATATTTCAGTCTTGGCTCCCGGGCCTATTTGTTACACACAGTCAGCTAAAAATAAGCTTCTTTTCCCTTGGATGCATTATATAAATTCAGTCCCTAGCCATTCGATAGTGCTTACCCAGTGATGCTGAGTTGATTTCACTTGTACCTTGTGTAACTTTTATGACTCCAACAGAGACAGAACACGGTGATTTATTTTTTTTTTCCAGCAAGTTTCCATATCAAATTTTTCTTCCCAGCCTTCCCCCAGCTCACTGCTGAAATCAAGCATATTTAAAAAGCACAATGGGCACTCAATCTGTTTCTTTAATGTGATCGCTATCACTGCATGTAAGATTAATTTCATTTCCTTTCTCAGAAATTGCTCTTGATCTGTGATATTTAAGTCAGTCCTATCTGAACTGCCACGTGATATTATTCTGACAGCTTGAGCTGCCCTCCCATAACCTCATTTGCCCCATTGTATCTTTGTGGTATTCCTGCATCGCTGCTGAGAACATGATGGACGTGATGTACCCTTGCCTGTGCATTTCTTTATAGAAAGCATCAGGTGAGAGTCTTTAGCATGTTCAATACAACCAGCTGATCACAGTGTCCTCCCAGGATTTAAAAGCTATTAATCAACTTCCTGCATTGCTCAGATAGTTCTGTTACAAACAAACAAAGCAAACAGATAGAAAGAAAAATTACATCAGTAGACAGCATTGTTCCACAGTCCAAAATATTGCTGTAAACCCCAGACTCAGGAAAGGGGCAGCAAGGCTGTGAACGACCACAAACAAAACTGGGGGGAAAGAAGAAAGGAAGGGAAGAGCATGGGTGGAGTGAGGGAAAAATAATCACAGGATCAGATATGAAACAAGCCTTTCATATTAATTGTTGTAATGAAGTTATGCAGATGCTATCAATTAAGCTATAACTAGGTCCATGCCTTAGCCATAACCAATTAGGTCAATAAAAGAACACAAGTGCCAATGTCTTACCTCATTGCTAGGTCTAAAACTTACATCCTAAAACTGCATGTTCAGCTGCTGCCCAGGTCCATGTGCCTCTTTATCTATACTCTTGACAGGCTCTCACAGAAAACACTGACAGGCTGCATTATCTGGTGAAAAGCTCAGGGCTTGCTGCCAGCTCCGTAGGCTCAGCTGCTAGAGGGCCCACTCGGGTGTGGGGTCCAAATTTTGCTGAATCCTTTGCCTGCAGGAATACAATTTATTCAGCTCCAGACCATCTGTTGAAACTTTTCCATGTGGCAATAATTAAGTAATTATTAGGGCAGAGAAAGCATGAGTCTATCGCCTGGGGACAAGGATGGGGGTGATGACTTCTGCCCAAGCTCTATTGAGCACTAAATGTAAAACCCTTGTGAGCAGAGGCAGCTGCCCTGTCTGTCCTCTGTAACTCAGAATATCCTTTTTCTACAGCATCTGTCTGCTGCCTTTGAGATAGACCTTCAGGTCTCCACAGGCACCAAAAAGGAGTGTAGACCAGGTCTCCATCCTGCTGACCAGGAGAGCCAGGCAGTGAAATGCTGTGCAAACAGAGGAGGCATGCTCATTCCACTGTTCATCTTTGTGTGCAGGGCAAAGGTGAGGTCAGTGCTCTAAATCATCAGCTCAAGATGGGCACCTACTGACAACCCCAAGTAACACCTTCTTGCGGAGAAGAATGCTCCTGAATGTTTACAGTGCAGGCTTATCTGCAGTCACCCATGATTTTATTTTATTTTTTTTTTTTGCTTCTGTTCATAGGATGCCTAAACCATTACTCTAAGTTTAGTCTGAAGAAGGGCCCATCTTTTCATTCTAATGAAAAGCTGAACAAAAGATGCTGCTTCACTCTCTGAATCTTCCTCACTTTATTGGTGTCCTACCTGTATGAATCAGGGCTAGGGATACCACCAACTAATCTGGAAACAAATAAAATTTGTTGGTCTGGATGATAATTAGTTTTGGCAGAATACCACCAGCAGGCAGAAATGGTACACGAAGATGCAAAATCATTTTTTTATTGGAGAGTTGGTTTTATTAAAATCGGGTTTTGTCAACCCTGATATCAGAAGTTGTCATATGACCCCAAAAGACATTTTGATAAAGCAAATGATTACTGAATGAATGTACAAACTTAAATATTCATGGATCAGTAATTACGTTGAGGAGAGGTAGTGTCAATCCACTTGTCACAGAAACTTTTATCCTGAAATTATAGAACTGAGGATACAAGCAGAAATTTTAGAATGAACTAATATACCTCTTTTTTTTTTTTTTTCATTTTCCTTGAGTAACTTATTAACTTACTTGCAAAGATGTATATATTTTTAATCTTCCTATCATAGCATCACTGTACATTTTTCAAAAATTGTTTAAGAAATAAAAGCCAATTTTTCTTATTTATTTCTCCCCTAAGGTTGAAGGTAACAGCAGTAGTTTTGGTAGTTGTAATGTTTGGATGGGGCTGTATTAGATCTCATTGAAAGCCAGCTCCCATTTAACCCCCAGATTTTAGGCCTAAGTTTCATTTTTGAAAGTTACTTAATGCTGAGCAGTCTGCCTCCTTGTGTGTTACCTACTCTGTCTTTTGTGGATCATTAAGACATACAGCTGGAGCACTCCCAAACACAGCCCAACAGGTAGCTGGAAGATGCCCTGCAGACAGACAAGACCCCACATGTATGGCAGTTGTCTATGCTGTAATAGAAGTTTGAACAGTCTTTGGGATGCTGTGGGCTACCCCTGAGGCATGAACAAGGCTGGAAGGCAGGCAGGTCAGGAGAAATGTTAAGATTACTTCTGTTCCCCAAGTAATATGCTGGATAGATGTAGCTAATGAGTTTCAAATATATATTCACTTGCCAGTACAGTGCCTCCAGTTCTAGCAGTTCTGTGAATATGGAATGACTGAGGAAGTTCCCTTCTATAATACAATATTATGTATTGTTAGGAAGACATAAATTAAGTGATTTAGGCTGATATAAGTTCTGAGAGATTCACTGTGTGTTCCATACTTATACATAATTCTTGCCCTGGTATCAAAATACACAAAAACAGTATGAAACTGAAGAAAAGAAAGAAAACAATACTTTTTTTTTTTTTTTTTTTTTCTAAGTTGCAAAACTGGGAGGGGAAACCCTACTAATGTAGGGTAATATAGTAATATACACATCCAAAAATAGCTTTGATCATTGACAGTTTGACCTTGAACATCTTCCCTAGGGAAGCTACTGCATTTGGGAAGGAGCATTATTGTTCTGAGGAAAAGACAGTTTTCAGAATATTCCTTTAGCCTTCTGTTGTTGACGAACTCTCTCCGTTTGCTAATTCTGAGTCTAAGTCTATGGGGAAATGGAAATGATTTATTAAAAGATACAGTGTGAAAGACCAATGTGAGAAATTATGCGGTCTCAATTTGATCTCAGCTTCAACAGACATCATGATATGTCTCCAAAGTGTCAGAGATCTCACTTGAGTGAAAGCTAAGTCCATTGGTACAGATAACTTAACAGACCACTTGATGTCACCCTTGCTCTCCCCTGAAAGAAACACACAGCAGTAAAAGAATGTAATTTTAAAGTCCTGGATGTGGTATGAGAAGGTAAATAACAGGTTATTACCATAATACGCATTTTCTAGGATAGTTTATACACAATGTGTGAAAAGTCTTCTATTAGGGGCTTATATTACCTTTTAAATGAAGAATTATTTGAGGCCAAGACTACTGTTTATTGATATATTTCTACAGTCCCTGCTAAAGTGGCACTGTGAAGTTGGAGCCTGCAGAACCTACTCTAACTGAAATAAAATTTGCATTTCAGCACAGAGAGTTACCACACAGTGATTTTGTCTTTTATTAAACTTTTACATTTTAAAGCTGGAGTTGGAGTGAAGCTGGAGTTGCCATTAGGTAAAAGTAGATGAATAGCTTGTAAGCTCACTATAGGGCAATTTGCGTCGGCCTTCTTCTTGTTGTTGCCAAATACTATATAATAGCAACAATCCAGGTATTCCCAGTTCTTTCAGCAACTTCTGAAGTAGCATCCTGTCAAATAATTTTGCTCTTGTCAGTCCCATGTGCCATTGACCATAACTGATTATGTTTCAGAACTGCCAAGGAGTACCATAAACCAGAGGAGCATATGCTATATGTTCATTGCTAACAACACACTGCAGAAACTCTCTGGAATAACAGAGAAGAAGAGGATGATCCATAGACCTTGTAGATTATCCTAGTTTTATCTGAGATAAACATAGGGGCTAAGAATTTGGCCCAGGAAGTGTATCACTCATATATTACTACTTACCACTCAAATCATCCTGCAAAAATATTATAGTCCCTTTGAGATAACTGTAATTTTATGACTCACCATCAGCAAGACAGAAATGAGAGATCAGAGAGTATTGGCCGGCAAACAGAAATGTACATGAAACATTGCAATCACATTTGCTTGAGAGACACTATCCCACATTTAGAAGTGAAGAACAAGCTATGGTAACAGCATTCTAGTTATTGAATAATATTATTTTTATATAGTGATTTGTATGCATAAACATAAATGTATTTTACAAAGGAACAAAAGCAGAAGAAATTGGAAATGGAAGTTACTTTGTGAAATTTTTATCAAAACTCATGACTTTTCAGAAGAGACAAAAAATTAATCAGTTTTCACAGACAGGGAAAGGGAAGGACAATCTGATAAATGTAATCACCCGAAGTTATACAAGGAATGAGATAAAGAATTGGGAATAACATTTTACCATCCCATTTTATAGTACATAGTGTAATGAGCAGTCCATACTGTAAGGATTTAGAGTAGTTCTTAAAAGTAACGTACTGTACATATCCAAGAGCCCCAAGGTGCCCCAAAGTGAGGCAATATAAAATAGGTAAACCAGAAGTTGATAGACAAAATATTCAATATAAATTTGAAAACTCAAACCTGTTCTGCTTCTTCTTGATGTAAGAATGAGGTAATGCTGACTATGATGCAGATTAGGGAAAAGAAGGAGGAATGTAAACCAAAGTTAAATGAGTCTATGCAAAGGTGTAAGACAGTCCAAACCTAAAAGAGTTAAAGGGCTAGAACACAGGTCTTGACAAATTATGAGAAAGAGGCTATAGAGCAATCATATTTAGCTGGTGTGCTACCAGTAATGAAAATAATTATTCAAAATTCTTTAACTTTTTTCCTATTTTTTTCCACTAAGTATATTTTTCACATTAATTTGAAATAATATAAATATTATAATCATTTAACGGGTATATATTTCCCTTATATTTCCTAAGTTTCAATATAGTATAGTATAATATAGATTCTGGCAATTTGTTTTTGTAATATCACATTCTTCCTTTGCCCGCTAGATGGTAGTACCAGTTTTAAATCCACCTTTCAAGGCTGAAATTACAGGGTGGCTTTGTTTCATCATTTCAGTCCAGGTCACAGGCATCAAGGACTCTATTATATTTTTCAGTTGCAGCAGCATAAATTCACTTTAGCTCTACTAGTTCTACATCAGTTTCTGTAGCAGCATCCATGGTTAGCTAAAGAGATATTGGTGACAGACCTGAAAATGAAATGGAAATATTTCAGCCAAACAGAAGCATTTGCAAGTAGGCCCTGTTGTTACTAACTCCATATAGCAGATCACAGTTAATTCTTTTTGGCTGTAAACAGCTTCTTCTTCAAAATTCACCTATGAATCACAAAAGACTCGGAGATCTTAACTTTTCTACAACTGGCAGAACATTCTGTTTGTAAATATCATTCATTGGCCATGTCAGTATAACTATGTTATTTTGTAATTAGAGATTTCAAATAATTTAAATTTAATATGAATACCTGGATGTGTTTAATTGTTAATGTGAAAAAGTAAAGATTTTATTTTTTTATTGGTCTTAAACATTGTCTGTTTTACCCCAAATCCCCATGCCTTTAGACTGTGTGTCCATTTCTGCATATATATTTTTAGAGAACATCAGAAAAGAAGCCCAGATTTGCTCTCTAGAGAAGAAAGTGTAAGCCATCATTACTAAAGCTTGCTCTGTGTTCTTGGTTAGAGAAAAGTTATATATGAAGGAACGAAATCTGCTTCCATAAATCTTAATCATAATGGATGTAAATGAATTTCAAGCCATGGAACTGAGGGGGTTTAAGCAGCAGTGGGAGACAGGGGAAAAGTAAAATTTA